ATGCGAAATTGTATAATTTGTTGAAAAATTTACTCTCTCCGGATAATCCTTCAGATAAAAATTTTACCGAACTAAAAAAGGTTCTTAAGGATCATTTAAATCCTAAAGCTTTAATAATACCTAGTCGGCACATGTTTATTAATAGAAAACAGCATGAGGGGGAATCAATTAGTAGTTATGTCACTGAATTACGCTCGTTAGCGATTCCTTGTGAATATAAAGAGGATATGCTAAATACAATGTTAAGGGATGTTTTCGTTAGCGGTCTACGAGATCGTAATATCTTAGATCGATTATTTCAGGAAGATGATATCGATTTAGAGAAAACATTAAAGATAGCCTTGGCGATGGATGAGAAAAGGCGGTTAAGGGTGCAAATGAGATTATAGGAAATTCCAGTAGTAGAACTGAAGGTACTTAAAACCAAGAAAAATGAGTCCAAACCGCGGAAACAAAACTTTGTTGCTAAGAATAATAAAGGTAAAAATGAAACTTGTTCCGCGTTGCTTAGGAGCAAATCACAATAAAAACAACTGTAGATTTGCAACAAGTGAATGCCGCTTTTGTAAAAAAATTGGACATATCGAAAAGGCGTGTTATTTGTCTAGGAAAAAAAAGACAGGTTAAACAAAAGAAAGTTGAGGCAAATAATGATTATGATTCGAAAAATGAGGTCCCCATCTATGGATTTAACTCCAGAACGCACATGTTAAGAGAGGAAGAGCCAAAAAGACCGCCAATAATGGCTTCAAGTTAAAATTGAAACAAACCAGTTAGCATGGAACTTGATACTGGGGGAACAGTTTCGGTAATGTCTATAAATAAATTTAGAAAAATTTCCAATAAAAAGATTCAGCCTACAATTTAGTTTTTAAAACTTACAGGGGTGATAAGGTGGTACCTTTAGGATATGTTCCTGTTAAAGTTGAATACCAAGGTCAAAAATTAGTTTTAAATTTATACATTGTGAAGGAAAATTTGGACACAATCTTTGGCCGAGAATGGCTGTATAAAATCAATCTCGATTGGAATGCCATCAAAACATTGAAAACTTCTAGTGAATTGAATTTAAAAAAATTGCTTGAGGAGTATAAGGAAATTTTTGACGGTAAATTAGGTGAAATTAACAATCACGAAGTAAAACTAAATTTGAAACCTAATACTCAACCAATATTTTGTAGGTCACGACCGGTACCTTTCGCATTAAAAAATAGAGTTGAATCAGAAATTGATCGGCTTGAGAAAGAAGGTATCATTGAGAGGGTTGAGACTTCAGAATGGGCAACACCAGTTGTGCCAATTGTTAAATCTGATGGTTCCATTAGGCTTTGTGCTGATTATTCTGTGACTCTGAATCCTAATTTGGAAGTGCCACAGCATCCATTACCAAAACTCGAAGAAATATTTTCATGCCTTAATGGAGGTAAAAATTTTTCGAAACTTGATTTCAGTCATGCTTATCTACAAATGAAGGTGCATCCGGAGAGCCAACGGATTATTAACAATAAACACGCATAAGGGGTTGTATATTTGTAAACGCTTAATGTATGGATTAAATGCTGCCCCAGCTATTTGGCAGCGCTATGTTGAGGGATTATTTCAGGGGATCGAAGGAATTAAAATTTTTATGGATGATGCTCGAGTGACAGGACCGGATGATCAGTCTCATTTAAAAGCATTGGAAATATTTTTCAAAAAAATGCAAGGAGCACGGCCTAAAATTAAACTTAACTAAAAGTAAATTTTTTCAAAATGAGATTAAATTTTTAGGGCATAAAATTGATGCCGATGGATTTGCATAAAACGGATGAAAAGATTTCGGCAATTGCTAATGCCCTACGCCGAAAGGCGTCCAAGACATCAAAAGCTTTTTGGGATTAGTGAATTTTTATGCCAAATTTTGCCCTAATCTGGCAACTTTGGCACATCCATTAAATAATTTAACAAAAAAAGATGTTAAATGGAGTTGGTCAAAAAAACTGCCAAATCGCTTTTGAAAAAATAAAAAAGGAAATTTGTTCAGACAGAGTTTTAATGCATTACGATCCCACATTACCGTTAATGCTAGCTACTGATGCATCTCCGGTAGGTCTTGGGGCAGTGCTCTCGCATGTTTTGTCTGATGGAACAGAAAGGCCTATAGCATTCGCATCGAGGACACTGACTAACACAGAGCAGAAATACGCCCAAATCGATAAAGAAGCACTGTCAATTGTTTGGGCTGTCAAAAAGTTTTATCTATATCTAAAAGGGGAGACGCTTTTCTCTGGTGACAGATCATAAACCTTTAGTGGCTATTTTCAAATCAAAAAGAGGACTTCCTATCCTCACAGCCACCCGACTCTTACATTATGCACTGATATTGCAAGCATATCAATTTGATAGTGTGTATCGAAATACCAAGGAACACGGTAATGCTGACTGCCTGTCGCGCCTACTTCTTAAGTCCGAAGATTTAAACATTAAGGATGATGTTGAAATATTCCAACTCTTCCGGTAACAGCCAGGGAGATAGCTCGGGAAACAGGAGCTGATGAAGAATTAAATAGTCTTTATGTGAAATTAAAATGTGAAGAAAGTTTGGAAGGTAGGGAAGCAGAGTACACCTTACAAGATGACTGTATAATGAGTGGTCAGAGGGTAGTTGTTCCGAAAAAACTCAGAGTTGAAATTCTCGAAGAGTTACACCAAGGACATTTAGGAATCGTTAAAATGAAGGCAATCGCCAGATCCTACGTCTTTTGGAAGGGAATTGATCATGATATTGAAGAAGTTTCTAGGAACTGTGTCGATTGTATTAAGTTCAAATCAGATCCAGTAAGGGCAAGGGTCCATCACTGGGAATATCCAAGTGCGCCTTGGGAACGCATTCACGTAGATTTTGCAGGCGCTATTTTTGAACGAATGTTCTTCATTATCGTTGACGCACATTCTAAATGGTAAGTGTATACCTTAAAGTCAGCAAATTCCTTTCAGACAATTGAATGTTTGAGAGACTGTTTTGCAAGATACGGACTGCCTTTAGTAGTAGTGAGTGACAATGGTCCTCAGTTTACATCGGGGGAATTTGAAACTTTTATAAGGAATAATGGAATTAAACACAAAACGTGTGCTCCATTTAAACCGGCAAGTAACGGGCAAGCAGAGCGTACGTTTACAAGCATTGCAATGCAATATTATTAAGCAAAAACTTGCCATATTCCTCATGAATATGACAACCTTGTTAAGTCCAGCAATGTTATTCTTAAAAAGTGAAATTAGAACTCGAACTGATTTAGTTGTTCCGAATCTTAAAAGAAGAGTGGAAGAACGCATCCGAAGGAATACTTATGATTTCAAAGACAGAAATTTTGAGATCGGAGAAAAGGTTGCCATTCGGGATTATAGATCGGCAAATTCTCGATGGAAAATTGGCAGAGTGACAAATAAGGATGGAGCGCTGCATTATACCATTGACGTTCAAGGAACTTTACTGCGCCGGCACGTGGATCAGATCAGATCGGTAGGGAGCAAGGTTTCGTCTGCACCGATAATCTATGAACCTCGTATGGCTGCTACTTCAGATGGAAACATGAAGCCACAGGCTCCAGACAAGGACATTGAACAAAGATGTGAAGCTGTGCAAACTTCAGCCGGACTTGAAACATCGTCAGTTCCAAGGAAAACTGATCCAGTCCTTCCAATGGATCCTGATAAAGAGTTGCAGCAACCTCAGCCAGGACTTAGACGATCATCGCGCATCCGCAAAGCTCCTCAGAGATTAAATCTCTAAATAAGTGGGGAGGGACATAGCATCTGATTTCAAGAGTATCAGTACTCTTATACCCGAGAACCTCTGTGAACGAAAGTAGAGTAGAATGTGATGTAACTGCGTAAATAGCGCATCGCTGCTGTCTTATGAGTTAATTAGAAATAAATGTTTGTGCCGTGAACTAGTCTGTTTTGGTTGCGTCATGCACTTCACTGAACCCACACCGCTAGACACAACAATTGTGGTTAAATCTCTCGAACCAACCATGACTTGCGGAAGAAGGTACCTTTTTTTCATCTGATGAAGTCAACGGTGGCTGATTCTTAAGTGTTAAAAAAAATCTTTAAAGCTTTATTTGTAATAGGATTAGTATCAACTGGAATCTGTTTTTGATTTTGGTCTTCTATCCATATCACTAATGCCTTTTCCATATTTTCCACTGTATCATCTCTTACGTAAGAAACTGTGTTCTTACTGCTGCAAGATCCACCTGCTACACTTTTTCTAATACAGTCTGCATTTTTTCGGATTATCCTTAATGTGGCTTCATTCAAGGAGTGAAATTTAGCAACATCTGTTACTCTTTCTCTATTACGTAGATGATCTAATATTTTAATTTTTGTTTCTAAAGAAATAATTTTTCTTTTTATATGATTTTTTCAAATTTTTTGGCATTATAAAACCTTAAAAAATTTACATAAATTATAGAAATGCCACAAAAAATAAAAATATCAAAAACTTATTGGTGCAAATATATAGATAAAAATTATGTTAGCTTTGCTGCCAAAATACTGATACTGCACTAGTTCACATGAACCAAAGTATTGTGAAATGCATATACATGCTATGGAGGTTCCCCTTTTACAACACAGGAAATCCCCATTCTTGTTGTTTCCACCTCAGTTACCAAAGGAATGAAAGTCAAAAATGACTTCAAATATATGTACTTGCGTATATATAGTGAAATATACATTTTTACCAAGTTTTGAAATCCGCAATTACCGTGTAAATCGAGGAATAGGTGTATATATATATATTAGTTATCTTTGGTTGACATTTTATTTGTTGAATTAAAGTAATTTTTAAAACAATCAACTGAAATTGAGTAAAGTAATTAGCAAGATTTTACTTTCACTTTAAAAGTTTAAAGTAAAATCCTGTTGATTATTTAAGTTTTTTCTTTAACACTTTTTTAACATATTTTTACATTTTTTATTATATATTTTTCCAAATTCAAAATCTAGGTTATGGGCCTGCAAATGTGAAAAGTATAACTGTAACTGTTTTTATGGAAACTGCTACATCTAATGCAATTAGTGGAGTGTTTGGAATATATCTAAATGGCACTACTCTTTTGAATGTAAAAGCAAATATAACACCTGATGCAGATTTACTATCTAAGCAAACATTTAACTTGAATATGCCAAAGGTAAGTATATTTTTCTCAGGAAACCTAATATTGTTAGTATTTTAAATAAATTTATGATGATGCTTTGCAGACAAAAAATTTATTTCCTATAACCAGTGTTCTGCTTTAGACATTAAATATTAACTCTATTCTCTTTAAAAAATACAATAAAAAAGCAGTTTTCATGTATTTATGGGTTTTTTCTTCTCCAGAATTTTGAAGTGAAACTCTGGTGGCCGAATGGTTTAGGAAGTCAACCACTTTATTTATTGGAAGTTGTATTTTTCAACAAAGAAGAAAAAGCTTATAAAGCAGTGAAATTTGGCTTTCGTTCTATTAAACTTGTTCAAGAACCCATACAAAATTCTTCTGGTAACATATAAAATTAATTCTTGCGTTTAACCAAATGCTAGTGCTATAAAAACTGAAATTGTAATTGTTTCTGATAATATGAAATTGTTCCCTTTTTCAGTCATTTAAGTAGTCATTAACTATTGTTGTAAAGTCATCAATCCTTTTTAATTTCATTGAAAAAAAAATTTAAGAATTAACTGTAAACAGAGAAATTTCTATTAAAAATTATGTAAAGTGGTGCCTTTCTAATTGTCATAACTCCATTCTAGATCCTTGGATGCATACCATATGAACTTTTCCAGTAAGAAATAAAGGGAAGATAATTATTCCATTGTAATGGGAAAATCCTGCTGTTATTATTATAAAACTATTCAATACTAAAATGTAAATGCAGTGGATGAAATATATGCTGTACATAAATGAAACACTGCACATGATACTGTATCTAAATGTTTTTCTGCTATCCATATCAAAAGCAATTTTTCAGCCTGCTCTAAAGTCCCTGATCTTTGTTTGTATTTGATTTCACCCCCCCCCTTCGCAGTGTTAGCGGATTTAATAACATCTTTGTTTTTCACAATTATAGACACTATTGTTCTCAGCATATGATATGCAATAGCCAAGTCTCGAAAATAAATGCCAACTGTATACATTTCAACAATTTTTTTTTTTTTTGTCCCCTCCTTCTTCTACCTCAGTAGTGATCCTAACAATTTTCTTTGCTACTTGACTGTTCTAAAACTTCATTGTTAATGAATTTACAAAGGAAAAGACACGAAAAAGCACAAAAGTAATCTGGAAATTCAGAGTTGCACATGTTAAGATACAATAGCACGCCAAACAAATACTAATTCAGAATTCAAACTACAAAAATCAGCGTTATATTTTCAAATTTTCACAGACTCAACTCCCGATATTTCAACATTCCTGTATAACTCGGCAACTTTTTAGGAACTTTTAAGATATCTGTAGGCCAAATAGAGCAAATATTACATAAAGCAATTATTATTTACACATATATCTTTCCTGTTCTGTTCAAAGATTTGAGTGTTGTTTTTTCTGTAATTTTTGCCGTTTCCACATTGTGCCATTAATTATTAGAGCTGCCTAACAAATTTCTAAATATGTTGAATACTTATGAGTGCGAGAGACAATCTGCCATCATATGATATTTTTTCTACCAAGAACTACTACTAATTTTTCTTCATTTCTGTATGTAAGTTTTTTTACTCTATTGCCTTAGAGTATTTGTTTTTTGTTAATGGCTCCTATAGTGCTAGAACTTGATATAAAAAAAAACCAACATTAATTTAATTGTGTACTGTTCCATGCCCAATATTATGCTACAAATGTGTAGAGTAATTTACAGTTAAATATTAAGAGTTCTGAAAAACCCATCTTATTCCATGAAACTCGACTGTTTGGAAACTCAACAGTCTCTCAGTTCACATTATGTCGAGTTTGCAGGACTACTGTAGTACCAACAGGCGTATTAATGCTCATGGGTAGTCATAGTATTGTCTGAAAATAGGTAAACGAGGATAATGATTGCAGTCTTAATCATGAACTCGAGTTATATTCCAAACAAATGTATACCAAAAGAAAAAAAAAATTATCTGCCCAAGCAGGACATTATACCAAATTACACGTATTTCAAAGCAGATGTATACTGAGGTACAATGTAAATTCTTTTAATAAAATTAAATCAGCATCAAAAGCTTTGTAAGGATTCCCCCTCATAGAAGATTCTAAAATGATGCAAGTGTTATCTTATATACTAGATACTGAAGCTTAATAGATAATTTAAAGAAACTGGTCATTAAATCATCTGCAAAGTGGAAGGCTATCTTAGGAGTCTTGCACCTGTATACTATAATTCTGTAAACTGTAATCGCTCCTTCTGCTTTTACTAGCAGTTAAGCACTCATAGAGGAACATGGGCTTTATTGAAAATTGTACAGAAATCAGACTGGCAGTTTAATATGTTAGGGAAAGATGAAGTCCACCTTTCACTGAATGGAAATGTCAACACACATAGCTGTCACATATGGAGACTTTTAGCTTTATCTGCATTTAGTGCAACCACTTCATGCTTTGAAGTAGAAAGAAATTCTGTCTTCCTGCTGTATAAGAGAAGCTTTCCAAAATAAAGTATTGAATATAAATACACATATTTTGTTGAATTTAAAATGACATAAATGCCAAAATTTAAAAAAAAACTATATCTAAATGTTTTCTTTTAAAGTTTATTAGACTTTCTGAATGTTTAAATTCATGGCAGCCTCTTTGAAAACTTTTCCAATTTTCTTTATATAATCATTTAGTTGAAAATGTATTTAATCTTCTTGTTTAGTCAAGTGATGAGTAATGTTTTATCATATTTTAATTAGTATTTTGCTCTATGCCATCTGTTTTTAACCTGTTTTAATTTGTTGTTTAATCCATGTCGTACTTTATAACTATTACAAACTTCTGTTCAACTCAAATAATGTTTTAATTTTGTGGTATGTTTTTTCATGTATTGCTTAACTTCTTGCTCTTTTATGAAGCATGTAATCTATCAACTTAATAGTTTTCTTATTTTTGTTGTATATTTTCTTTTAAATAGTGTGTAAAGCTGACTACTAATTTTTTACAGGCTTAAGTTTCTACTTTCAAGTGAATGGTGTTCCTTTTTTTGCAAAGGGATCTAACTGGATACCTGCTGATAGTTTCCTAGAAAGAGTTACAACTGAATATATTGAAAACCTTCTACAGTCAGCAAAAGATGCTCATATGAATATGCTTCGTGTGTGGGGTGGAGGAGCTTATGAAACAGATGAATTTTATGAACTAGCTGATAGAATGGGTTTGTTGATTTGGCAAGATTTTATGTTTGCATGTGCACTGTATCCTACTGATGACACATTTCTAAAATCTGTTGCTATAGAAGTTACTCAGCAGGCATGTATTGGACAAGCATTTATCCTTGCCACCCTTTTCTTTTATTGTCTGTAACTTTTTCTTGTATACCTAATGAAATTTTGTGTTTATAGGTCAGACGCTTACAGCATCATCCTAGTTTATTGTTGTGGGCTGGGAACAATGAAAATGAGCAGAGCATATCTGGCTACTGGTGGTAATTGTGTTATACAATTTATTGTTTGTATTTTCTGTTTTGCTGTAAAATATCTTGATCAAGGAATTATCATTCTTCTGTATATAACTCTTAATTTAAGACACAAGAGAAACAGTTGCATAAAATTAGGCAAAGACATTCATTTGTGCTTCAATTTCATCTTTTTATCAGTTAAAATTCCATGGATTCTCCAGGGGCTAAATTTTCAAGTCATATTCTTGCCTATCAATAAAATCCAGGGTTCGATTCTTAAAAATTCCATTTCTGACTTTAATTCTTGGAAATGTATAGCATATTGTGTCAGTGTGGTTTAAGGTATATAAGCCAAACTAAGTGTTAAAGTTTTGTATCAAGGAACACAAATTCTTATGTCTGAGAAGGCAAAATTAATATGTCTGATAACTAATTGTGGTTGGAAATTTTATCACAGTTTTGATTTTGAGTCTGCACACATTATTCAAAAAGCTGCTTTTATTAGTGAGTTGCATTTTCTTGAAGCTTTTCACATTCATACAGATTTATCATAATTAGTTAATGACTTTATAGTGGCTCGTGTAGCCACTCAACGTTTGCAAATTCGAAAGAGTTAAATTACTTGAATTTGTCATCAAAGAGCTCTTATATGCTGAGGTAGAGTATTTCATTTCTATGAAATGGACTTAAGTTTTGTCCCCAAGGCCAAACGACATATTGCATTGCACTTCTGGTTTAACCCATACATTTGCCATGAGCAAAGAGTGTGCTTAAAAAAAAAAAAAAAAAAAAAAAAAAAGTATTGAATAACCACGAGCCATAAATCACCACAATTCACCAGTTGCCAAAATAGTGACCAGACATGATAAGAATGTGCACCTCCTCCACCTGTCCAAATCCAATTAGTCATGCCCAACAAACAGAGCTGAACACAGTCCACCAATAAAATGAATTACCACATCAAATTCACTGGGCTCAAAACACAGCAATTAGTCATACTTCTGGCCCATTAGCAGCTAAACAGTAAGAATTGAACACTTCTAAGTCACACTTCCTCTTAGCATACTGGTACTGGGGGAGGGTGTATGGCTGCCCATGGAGCCAACCAACACTTGCAAATTCAAAAGAGTTTAATTACTTTAATTTGTAACTAAAGAGCTCTTTCGTGATGAGGTAGAGTATTTCACGCTCATTAAACAAGCTCAAGTTCTGTCTCCAAGGGCAAGTGGCCTCTCCCATAGTACTTCTTGATTCAACTCATGGATGCCCTGAGGAAAGTCTTCACCAAAAAACACAAAAAAAAAAAAAAAAAAAAAAACGTTGAACAACTGTGAGCTATAGCCATAGCTCTATGGCCAACATAACATTAATTTCAATCCAATCCTTCTTAATGCTTTCAAAATTCTATTAACATAATATTTTAATTTTCATTACTATTTCTGCCAACCATTGACGCTACCTTTTGCTTTTCTCCTTTTGGGTATAAATACAATAGTGGCTTTCCCTTTGTTGCAAATTTATTTGCTCCTGATGAAGAGAGATCTGTACTTATTTACTCTCAAAGTCAATTATTATTAGTCTTGACTAATATTATACTAAGTACAAGGTTGTTGCTTTGACTAAATTTAAGCTCTTAATTTGTTTTGTATGTAAAGGATATCATGGTATTTCGTGGGTCAGAGTAGTATCTTGAGAAATTTATTTTGTATGCAAAAGTATATAGGAAATATCAGTAACACTATATAATGAGACAATTTTATTGGATTGAACTCCTTTTTTAGTAACATTTTTATTAAATTAGCTTATGTTCTGCTAGAGGTAGAAAGAAATGAAGTACAAAATTAGAAGTATCTTTAATCCTACAGCAATAACTTCGAAAAGAGACTAAATAATCTTTACAAAATAAATCTACAAGTTTCAGTTTTTCTCTGATACCAATAACTTCATAGCAGATTATTTAGCAAACTTTATTTCCAATTTTAGTCATTTTTAGTTTCTAATTTCAGATATTTTCTTTAGCAGAAGATAGCAAATACCATTAAGTCCTCGTAACTGATTTTTTTCACTAAGGGTACTTAAATTTTGTTCTAGGGAAAAAACCCACAGGAAAAATGCTCACAGATATAAATGCTCACAGGAAAAAAGCTCGCACAGAAATATGCCCACATAGAAAAAAGCTGACATGGAAAAATGCTCACTTAGAAATATGCTCACACAGAAAAAAGCTGACATGGAAAAATGCTCACTTAGAAATATGCTCACACAGAAAAAAGATCACATGGATATATGCTCACATGGAAATAAGCCCGCTGATAAATAAAATACGTAGAAATATCCTTATATTAAACAATCAATAATTAATCGATTTGAACATCTTACACATACTTAATTTTTAAAAGCAAAATTATTAGACAAATGCTCACATAAATGTTTTCAGGGGTGGTATATAAAAGATTGAAAACTGTAGATAAATTTTGCATGTACTTTAATGTTTTATTCCACTGCCCCTGTACGACATTTTTATTCCTGCAACTACCAATAGTTATTTTTTATTTTTTTACTCTATTTTTGCATACTTTTGATGTGTATCTACAGAAATTGATGTTTTCATGTAGTTAAATTTGGAGCCAAAAAAGTTCTAGAAGACCACAATTTCCGATCGAAGTGTGGAATCATTATGAAGCAGCTTTTGAAAAATCTCCTAAAACTACAAATTGTTACGAAAGCTTTCATGAAGTACTAAATTCATTATTTAAATGTAGCCATCCCAGTGTGTGATTTTTATTTGATGGACTGATAAAAGATTTAGCCTGTCAACGTTTATTATTAGCTATTGTAAATACATGGCATACTAAATTTATACTAAAGTTTAAAAAAAAAGGGAAACAAAATATTAAAACTTACATTTGGTAATCACAAATCATATAAGAAACTATGATGAAATCGATGATAAAATTAGATATTTGCATACATTAGCTAATATTCAGCACTTTTATGTATTTATAACTTTTTAAATATATATTTATGATTTATATATAATAAGGTATTTTACGTAATTTAAATAAAATAAATATTTATGTTTGTTTATTCTTCTAAATCTTTATATTATAAAAGTGTAACTTATATTTACTATTATTTTTTTAACAATTAAAATTATAATAATTTTCTTACTGTATATGTTCTATTTTATTTTTCTTTCTTCTTTCCTTTTCCTGATTCAAAATGACCCATTTACTAATCTTATATAGCAACTGAACCTACACATAAGTTATACAGTTTTTGATATATATATTGTTACGAATTTGGTATTTAAAAAGCTAATGTTAGTTCAATTACAAATTAAATGATTTTATTTCACGCGCAGTGCAGCGCGTGACGAATATTAAAAGAAAGCTAAGCCGTAAAATTGAAATTACAAGAGCGCGTGCATTAAATAAATAAATATCTCTTTTTGATTTCGAGAAAGTACTGGAAAATTCTAGCGCGTGATTTTAAAATCTTATAAAAGGAGGAAAACATCTCAGTTTGTAGTAGTTGCTGCTTAGTTTGTTGTTGTTTAGAAAACTGCTCTTGTTGATTGTAGCGAATTCGCGGATTAGCGTTCTTTAGCTGTTTTTAATTGCGTTCTATTGGACATTTGAGTAGTTAAAAGATAACTACTGTGAGATATTGTAATACTGCATGATAATTTGAGAAAATTTAAGCATTTTTGTTGTGATAATAATAAATTTTTTTTTTTGTTCATTTTTTCATCGGACTTGTGCATTCATTTCATAATGAACCCGTACGCACGCAACAATTTTTGGTGTCAGGAGTGGGGTTTGAATGCCAATAACAAGAGCGATGGAAGAGCAATTAAGGCAGTTAATATCAGCCTTTGCCTCATTTAAAGAAGAAATTAAGGAAGAAATGAAATTGGGCCAGGAATCCGTTAAGGACGAAATGAAAGCCGTTCAAGCTGGTCAAGAAGAAATGAAAAGAGAAATTACTTGCATAATAGAAAATAAATTTGAAACTATGGAAGGCAGAATTGAAGCAGTTGAAAATAAAGTTGGACATATTGAAGAAAAGGTTTCTTCCGTAAAAGATCATATTGAAGAAAGAGTTTCTTCGGTGAAAGAAGAAATAGAAGAAAAAGTTTCTTCTGTAAAAGAACATATAGAAGGGAGAGTTTCTGCTGTGGAGGAACGAATTGAAGGAAGAGTTTGTGCCGTCCAACACCAAATCGAACAACAAATTGATGAGAGAGTCTGCAGTTGCCAAAGAAATGGATACTTTAAAGAAATTCGTAGCGTCGGCAGGGAGCAGGAGTGATGATTTTAAATTCTTACCAATGCCTGCTCGTCCACCTCTAAAGCTATCCACATATGATGGGAAGACCTCCTGGCAGGTGTATAATACCCACTCTTTAAATCAATTGATGACATTCTAGACACTCTTTCTGGAAGCAAGTGGTTCTCAACAATTGATTTAAAGAGTGGGTATTGGCAGGTAGAAATCCATCCTGAAGACCGAGAAAAGACGGCATTTACTACGGGACAAGGACTTTGGCAGTTCAAAGTGATGCCGTTTGGACTGTGTAATGCGCCGGCAACATTCGAACGTCTTATGGAGACTGTTTTGAAAGGCCTTTCCTACGAAGCCTGTCTGATATACCTGGACGATATCATCATCGTCGGAAAGAGTTTTGAAGAGCATCTAGAAAATCTTAGAAAAGGTGCTTCAGAAACTGAAAGAGGCCAATCTGAAGCTGACTCCCGCTAAATGCAAATTGTTTCGAAAGGAAGTGACTTACCTGGGACATGTCATCTCTGCAGAAGGTGTGCGCACGGATCCTGAAAAGGTATCAGCCGGTTAAATCCTGGAACGCTTCCCGAAAATGTCCATCAGCTGAGAAACTTCCTAGGGCTTTGCACCTACTATAGGAGATTCGTGAAGAACTTTTCTTCCATCGCAAGACCACTTCACAAGCTGACAGAGAGCAAGCAAAGATTCTTGTGGACAAAGGAATGCGAGGATGCATTTAACAACTTAAGGAAGCTTTAACATCTGCTCCAATCCTGACGTATCCTCAGCTCGACAGACCATTTATTCTCGACACACCGACGCGAGCAATGAAAATGTCGGTGCTGTTTTGTCCCAAGAAATAGACGGCCAAGAACGTGTAGTAGCTTACTGGAGCAAGTGCCTGTCTAAACCGGAGAGGAATTACTGTGTCACAAGGAAAGAGTTGCTCGCCATAGTCAAAGCTGTAGAACATTTCCATCATTATCTATACGGGAGAAAATTCCTCCTCCGCACGGACCATGCCTCATTGGCCTGGCTTTTAAATTTCAAAAATCCTGAGGGTCAAATAGCCAGGTGGATACAGAGACTCCAAGAATATGACATCACTATCCGTCATCGTAAGGGATCATCACACGGAAACGCCGACGCCCTGTCTAGAAGACCTTGCCCAAGAAAGCTGCCGATATTGTTCCAGGGTGGAAGCGAAATACGAGCTGCTGACTCCGGTCGCACGACAAATTACAACATCAACGTCGGCTGATCGAGACCCGTGGAGTGATGATGAAGTCAGGAAAGACCAGCTGGAAGACCGCGACATTAAACCCATAACTTGATTTAATAGAGTCATCAAACAGAAAAACCTACCAGGCAGGACATTTCTATCTGTAGTCCTACAACAAAACAATACTGGGCACTCTGGGATTCACTTCACATTCGAAACGGCGTCTTATACCGGAAATTCGAAGTCGGATGATGGGAAGACGTTCCGATGGCAACTGATACTTCCAAGATCCCGGATTCCTGATGTCCTTCAAAGAACTACATAACAGCCCTACAGGAGGTCACTTTGGAATTATGAAGACCTTACAGAGAGTTCGTGAGCGCTTTTACTGGAATAATGCAAAGAATGACGTGCAAAAGTGGTGCCGATCTTGCGATGCCTGTGCAGGTCGGAAAGGACCGAGGAAACGCAGCCGAGGCAGACTGCAACGTTACAACGTAGGTGCGCCTTTTGAACGTATCGCCTTTGACATCCTGGGACCTCTGCCACGAACTGCTGATGGCAACAAATACATACTCGTTGTCATTGATTACTTCACCAAGTGGCCTGAAGCTTATCCTATTCCTGATCAAGAGGCAGTCACAGTATCTGAGGTAATGATACAGCACTGGATTTCCAGGTTCGGAGTGCCTCTTCAGTTACATTCCGATCAGGGAAGGAATTTTGCCTCGGCAGTAATCAAAGAACTATGCAAACTACTTGGCATTGACAAAACTCAAACGACGCCATTGCATCCCCAGTCGGACGGCATGGTAGAGAGGTTCAATCGAACCATCCTTAATAACCTCTCATTAGTGGTTTCCAGAAACCAACAGGACTGGGACAAGAAATTACCACTCTTTTTACTGGCTTATCGCAGTGCTGTCCACGAGACTACCGGCTATTCTCCATCACAGATGCTCTTCGGTCGTGACCTTCGTCTGCCTATTGTTTGGCCGCCCTCCGGATGCTCCTTCATCGTCTGAGGAATATATTCAAGATCTCCAGGCCCGGTTTGAAGTGATGCACAATTTTGCACGAGAGCGAGTCAACTTGGCGACGGAGAAGATGAAGACCCGATACGACACAAGAGCTACTGAACATCAATTCCACGAAGGAGACAAAGTGTGGTTGTGGAATCCGACTCGATGGAAAGGACTTTGTCCGAAATTACAGTCACCTTGGGATGGGCCGTACACAGTCCTAAACAGGCTGAATGACGTCCTGGTTCGGATTCGTAAGTCTTCGAACTCTAAACCTAAAGTCGTTCATTACGACAGGTTAGCTCATTACTATGGCCATAGTACATAATGTAAATAATTGTAAATAGTATAAGACCATGGTCCATTTTGATTTTAAATGTTGTATTTGATTTGTTTTTATGTATTGCATTTATTGTTCATGTTGTTTATTATTGTAATGTAATGCTTATTAATGCATTTATGCCACAGTTGTAAGTTTAGCTTCCTGTCCAGGGATTGTACTGCCCGGGACGTGCAGTCCTTGGGAAGGGGGCAGTGTTACGAATTTGGTATTTAAAAAGCTAATGTTAGTTCAATTACAAATTAAATGTTTTATTTCACGCGCAGTGCAGCGCGTGACGAATATTAAAAGAAAGCTAAGCCGTAAAATTGAAATTACAAGAGCGCGTGCATTAAATAAATAAATATCTCTTTTTGATTTCGAGAAAGTACTGGAAAATTCTAGCGCGTGATTTTTAAAATCTTATAAAAGGAGGAAAACATCTCAGTTTGTAGTAGTTGCTTAGTTGTTGTTGTTGTTTAGAAAACTGCTCTTGTTGATTGTAGCGAATTCGCGGATTAGCGTTCTTTAGCTGTTTTTAATTGCGTTCTATTGGACATTTGAGTAGTTAAAAGATAACTACTGTGAGATATTGTAATACTGCATGATAATTTGAGAAAATTTAAGCATTTTTGTTGTGATAATAATTTTTTTTTTTTTTTTTTTGTTCATTTTTCATTGGACTTGTGCATTCATTTCATAACGAACCCGTACGCACGCAACAATATATATATATACCATATATGTTTTGGTATGATACATATATGTATGTAATGATTTTAAAATGCGTAGATGAAGGCAATTGGAACTTTTAAGAGCTGACAATATTGTGCAGATGGCTGAGAAGACCATAGGGGCTTGAAGGTAGGGCTAAGTGGAAAAGCGTGATGATACATTTAGCTCAACTGATCTTGAAGAATCACAATCTTTATTTTTTACATATATCAAACCATCCTTTTGCAGGTAAGATGTTTCCTAATTATATTTGGAAGCAATAAGTTCCATTTTCAAGTACGACTTCACCTTAAGCAAGTAAGCGGCAGCAGCACGGATGAAAAGCATCTTGCAAGCAGGAGAGCTTATGCAAAAAAAGGGAAGAGTGTCTCAGTACTTCATAGGAAGAAGGGGAAGTCAGAAAAGTTGCAGTTCAGAGTTTTGGTTTACAATTAATTTTATTGTACAAGAGGTATCTGCATTAAAACGTTACGTAACATAGAAAAATCTGGAACCTGGGAGAAAAGATGAACCCAGGTGGAAATCACCTAATTTAGAATATTAGGTTTGAGTTTGCCAATTATTTTTTTTTTAAAACAGCTATCATATTTTGTTATAGCTTACATATATATATTTACTAAAGAAATATTGATTATATTATCTCCTAATATAAATTTAGTAGAATGTATCAAAAAGAGGGAACCCATATGTAGGAAGTTTAATTCCAAAATTTGTGTGTAAATCATGAGAAAAACTTTTTAAGGGGACTTGAATTTAAATCATGAATAACAAAATTTCAAACTTTCAAAACAAGTAATTATCGCCATTGATCGTAAATAAGTTGACTTTTCAAGGGGAACAAACCAACTCCTGTTCAATAAGCAATAATTAATAAATGCAAAGGTGTTTCGTCTTTTACTCAAGTAAGAATGATGATGCCAAACTGGCAAATTAAGTTAGGCCAAATTTGTAGTTCCGTGAAGTGATGGTCAAATTAGAGCATCAAAGAACTCATTCTGAATGAAGCATTTTCTCTAATACGAGATTCTTTTGAAATTTTGAGTGAATAGCCAATTTATGTACGTATTTTATTTATCAGTGCGTTATTTCAGTGTGAGCATATATCTATGTGAGCTTTTTTCCACGTAAGCATATTTCTAATTGAGCACTTTTTCTATGTGGGCATATTTCTGTGTGGGATTTTTTTCTTTCAGTTTGGCATTTTGCGTTGGATCACTATAAATGGCGTATCACTTTTCAAATTGTTGGTCACCAAATATTATAGCCCTGTATTATATTTAAAGAAATTAAATAATGAACAATCTACATAAATGTATGTATGTTTCTCGCGTTGTGATAAAATAACGGTACCTAGAATCATCAAATTTTGAATAACGTAATCCTAATTTGTAAATTTATATAAAAATAACAGATTGTGAGTACTGGTGTAATAAAAAATCTAAAAAGTATATTACATACAAAGGACATATATGGAGGTCTGGGATACAGGCTTTACTTCATTAAGTGCAAATAGACTTTTCATAGCAGAAATGTATTAAGGGTTATTAGAAATGCATTAAATTGTCATAACACTTTGACACATCAATTTATTGTGTTATTATATGAAAGTCATAGTATGCTTGGGATAGATCATGGCTTTGTTGTATTTACAAAGCCATTTTAAGTTGATACTGCATTATATTTTATATTGCTTTGATTAAAATGCCTTTAAGGAAGGCAAATTAATATTAACTTTAAATGATATTTGTCACAGTATTGTGCAGTAAAGTATAAATTGACATATTTCTTTCATAGATTTTTATATTGTGCTATATGGTTCTTTTCAGTTTCCTTAAAAAGTTCAGTTCTGTTTTAGAGAAAATATTTTTGTTTAAATAGGCCAGCAGTTAAAGAGCATCTGGAGCAATATAAAGCAGATTATGTCAAGTTGTATATTGATACCATTATGCCTCTTGTTATCAATGAAGACCCAACCCGTCCATTTCTACCTTCCAGTCCATCAAATGGTCCAAAAACTATGCAAGAAGGTTGGATATCATCTGATCCACAAGATGTACATTTTGGTGATGGTAGGTACATGAATAATTATTTTTTGTGAAACAAATGATATTTTAATGCCTTGTGTGTTAATATAATATGTATGTAAGACCTGTTGTGACTTATGAACTGTAAGTATATTTATGATATTTAAATTTCAATAAACTGAAACTGAAGAGAGCAGATAATTTTTTTAAGTGATCAAAAATTTGTTTTAGCAAGCTGTTAATTTTAATATATTTTATCTGTGGGGCAACTTATCAAAGTGTAAGTTATCAAAATTCTATATTTGTTGTTTAAACATTGTATTTGAAGAAATATATCTTGCCCTTCCTGCTCCTTACAAAAATACAAAAAGGGAATTTGTTTTAAATTGATTGAAAAGTGTGTTCTTAAGATTATTGTTTGGTTTTACAACATCAAAATGCTGATAAACTGTCCACTAAAAATTTCATTGCCGCACAAGAAAACTTCAGAGAAGGCAACTTCTTCATGGTTTATTATTTCCTGTTAGAGAAAAATAATCATTCTAAGTAATCATTGAAGAGTGTTAAAAATATTGGTACTTACGTTTTAATGCAACCACCCTGGTGCAGTTTGTTGATTTTTTAGTAGATGGAAAGGTGGAAGAGTTTCGGCTGCAAATTGGTAATTTTTATACTTTGTTTTTAAAGATTTTCAAACTATTGATATTTATTATAAATCTGCAAACGTTATTAACATACATTAAAAAAAACCTTTAGCAATTTAAAATATAAATTCTAATTATTAAATAAGGATTATACAAAAAATAAAAAAGATTTTTCACAAAATCGTTTTGTAATTTTATGTTCTTTTTACCCTGTGTACACAGCATTCTCTTTTTGCTTAAAACATAAGAGACATGCACAAACTCAGCATCACATACAACTTTTGCATTATTTATATGCTATCTATCAGATGCATCTCATTATTCCTTCCTTTATCAATTTTGCAACAAAAGCACCATATTCCTGCAAGTTCAGATTTTACTGAAAGCTCCTCCATTTCTGGCAAATTCCATAACTGAATATTTTAAAAGAAGGCAACAACAACAACAAATCACTAATTTGTCTATAAAAACCATTAGAATTCAGAACAAAAAGAATGCTCACAAAAGCAGTGATGTGGGTTGACTGAAAGATAGTTATGAGTTTGGTAGTCTGAAGAATATTTATGCATATAGTTGCCAGAGTTTGGCACATTCTCATAATCTAGCGGTTTCTACTAAGGTGGTTGCAATAATACATAAGTAGCAAAATTTTTTTCATATATTGAAAGTTTTAAAGTTAACTGTCTAAATTGTAGTGTAAGTATATTATTTGTTAATCTGCAAATTTTAATTCTTATGTGTTGTCACCGTCTTTATATCATACACTTTAATTAGTTAATCTCATAACGATTTGTATTTGTAATGAAGTTAGAAACAGTATTAGGATAAAATGTCCAGCAGAGAGTTTTTCAACCGTAGCATAAGCATGCTTGGTGGTTGAACGCTTTGAGCAGTATTACAGAGAATATTCTGAATTCTAAGAAATCTGAGTATTTATCATCAAATTATTTATTTCAAAATGTTTTGTTCATTTTTCAGGAAAGCTTTGTCTTATCATTATTTTCAGATTCAGTTGCCTGTCATGTGTCCAAATAGCCATGGAATATTCACAGTACATTGAAATATCATGACAGTGTTTCCAGAGTCGTAGCTAGGGTTTTCAGCGCCCAGGGGCAACTGAAGATTTCGTGCCCCCTACTGCTTGCCAAGGATGGAAAACATTTAATTCTAAAATGTTGTAACATCAGTTTGGCGCCCGTTGGATTCTGTGCCCGGGGACATATGTCCCCCCCTTGCCCTCCTCTAACTACGCCCCTGATTGTTTCAGATGTATTCAGGTGTCATAGCAGTAGTTTTATGTCAGTAACTAGCAGCTTTGCTGCCAGCCTTCGTCTGGCTTTTAAATGTACCGGAAAAATGGCTGAAGGAAACACCAAACGTTAAATTTAAAAACTGCATAGAATTTTACTCTGCAGAAAAACTTCATAAAAAAAAGTTATTACATATAACAAAATTACAATGAAATAAGCAATGTCCCTTAATACAAATATTAATTATCATAATAAATAAATTAACCAACTTCCTTTTGCAAAATCTTAAGAACTCAAATGGTATAAAGGAGGTTAAGAACTTCGTTTCCTAAAAAAATCACTCAAAACTTTTCAATATCTTAAAAACTGTGAAATAAGCAATAAATAACATAATACAAAAAACAAAATTTTGAAAAGCAAAGTATAATTAATGATATTTTATCTTATATTTTCAAGAGAAAAAAATTAGATGCTACTTTGGTAGACGGTTGCACGACTTTTTGGCGATTTACATTGGCGCAATTGTTGGCGCGTGTTTTATAGTCATCAGCCATCTTGAAAAATGCTGTTTTTACGTATTTTATGCATATAGTAAAGTATTAGAAACTTTAAAATAATAAATATTGTTAAAAATAATGGATTGTTGAAAACTTTGTTTTTTAAGATGGCTGGCAAATGTAAATAAATACATTTACTAAGAGTATAAAATGCTAAAGAAAGGTTAAATTATTACTTTCATATAATAGAATAAAAACACCGCTATAAAAACATTGCGCCAACATTTAATTGGATTAAAATATTACTTAAATTGAATATCGAATTAAAAACATCATGCCAGCATTTAAAAGAATTAAAATATTACTTAAATACTTTAAAATAAGTTTTATAGGATTTAATTATTTATGACATTAAAACATATGTGGCAATAAATATCTCAGGGATTTTTGAAAACATCGTATTAATTTTTTAATGAAAGTATATAATAAAGTAAAAGAAAATTATGTACTTACATTTTTTTAAAGTATTTTGCCTGTCTTATATTGGTAAGTACAAAAAAAAAGTATAAAAAAAGTCTTCTAACGATCTTCATCTGTGATCCACATCTCTCACACTTCATTGAAGAAGCAATTAGCGAGAATTTCTCCAAAAATTTAAAATAAATTTCCTCTGACACTATTAACAATTTATAAATAAATCTTTGATTAGGAAAGCCAGGTTGGCCAAAATAAGGTCTCAAAGGGCAATTTTTTTATTCCAGTACAAACAATTCTTGGTAATTACCAATAACAACATTCATCTTTGAAACGGACATATCCATTCCATTTGAAATCTGAAGAAACCGAATAGATGAATAATAAAATTTTAAAATGGCGCAGTAATGCACAAATATTCAGGGAGCTATCAGAATCAATTCAGGTAGCAATATTATACAATCAGAGAGCTGATTACATCATGCATAGAATTAAAATTATTTAAATAATCATTCATAAAAAATCATTTTTAAAACAAATGCAAAATTAAATTGTATTTTAATATTTAACAGCCATAAATAATGTTTAAAACATTAGATTAAATTTATAGATTTAATAAAACCAATTACTTTTTAAGTAAGGTGACGTCATTGATTACATCATCCACAACATAAAATTATATAAAATATTATAAACAACAAAATTTTTATTTCAAATAAAAATGCAAAATTAAATTGATTTTTAATATTTAGAAGCCATAAATAATATTAAAACATGGAATTTATGCATAATAAAACGCATTATTTTTTTAATAAAATGACAACAAAGTATCGCTTACCATAAATAACTTATCCAGTAATGGGTTTACCATAAGTCGTATTACTCGCCAAAAGAAAAATTGCCAAAATCCGTGCAACCGTCTACCAAAGTAGCACCAAAAATTACAATGAAATAAGCTATCCCTTAATACAAATATTAATTATCCTAATAAAAAAATTAACCAACTTTCCGTTGAAGAAAAAAAAATCATGCAAAACTTTTCATTATCTTACAAACAGTGAAATAAGCAAAAAATAACATGAAAGAAACTCAAAAAACAAAAATTCCGCGCACAATTTTACTCTGCAGAACAACTTTATAAAAAACATCAATAAAAATGTATTATATATAAAAAAATGACAATGAAATATGCCAATCTCTTAAAAACAGTGACATAAGAAATACGATGAAAAATTGTTGCCAAACCCAAATTTCTAAAAGAATGAAACTATTCAAAATGATGTGATTTCATCAAGAATCTATCAACAACAATAAGAAAGGAAAATTGTTGCCAAAATCACATTTTTAAAGATGTGAGAAGTGTACTCGGAAGTTTCATTTAAAAATACAAAATATTATCATTTTTCCAAAATTCTTTTTGTAGAAGCAGTCGCAAGGATGAAAGTTTAACGTGTCCAAAATTCAAAGAAAAATGAACTGTGCATTTTTAAACATGAACGTTTTTAGAAAAATCCCGTTGAAAAGGTGTTAAGCTCACTTTGTTAAATAAATTCATATTTAATCGATTTATTGAAACACAAAATTTATTTTAAGTTCAAAAAATAGCTAAGTGCCTACATTTCATGACGATGTGAAAATGGAGTGTGTAGAGTAAAATCTCGCTTTCCTATAGCCCATTATATCTCAAAATGACGCAATTTCGTCACAAAACATAAAATAAAACAAATTCTAATTCGAATTTGGAAAAAAATCGCTTCGAGCTTTTGTCTAGATGCACCTATGTACCATATTTCATAGCCGTGGGTCTATTAGCTTACACGCAGCGTGAACGAAAGACACACGCACACACAGACAGACTCTTTGTTTTATTATATGTAGAGATAAGTATTAGTAACCCTCTTCATGACATGGTGAAGTAGACATGCTACAACTGTGTGATATGAAAACATCTTTTGGAACTTTCCCAGCGAGTATCATAAAAGTATATGTTACTCATTATTCATATTACATTTCAAACAAATATACAGTCTGAGCAATAAAGTCTTTCTCTGTTTAGAACATTTTTACCCAAAATGGCCAAAAGAATTTTTTTTTTTTTTTTTTTTTTTTTGTTGCAGACCTGTTGTTATAGTTTTTTTCTTTTGCAATAGATAGCATCACAGTGGTTGTAAGTAAGGATTAGTTAGTAATGAAATAATGTCGGATAAAAGTTAATCATGAAACCACTGCCCATCAACAGTTGTTTAGAAGAATGTATGGATGCAGTTCTTCAGATCTTGAGAGCAGACAGATTGGTGGAAAAAATTTGAAAGGAACTGATACCATTGCTGGCATTCTAAGAAGTAGAGAGTACTCAGAGTAATGAGATTGTTGACTGTATCCATGAATTAAACACACAAATTCATGATATATTGATACTTTGAAGGCCAAAATTACAGATGCGTTATTAAATGTTGAAGAACATGTTGAAGTTGTTGTGGCAAGAACTAGATTTTGAGTTAACATACTCTAGACTACAAAAGGGGTACATATTGAAATCTACTATATAGTACTGTTAAAATATTAACAGTTCTAGATTAAACTCAGTTACTGCAGTTATCATTTCCAGAAAATCGTATATGCCTAATTATAATAGTTTTTGTGCAATAAATTCTTGTAATAAGTCTGTGCTTACCTTGCACCATAACATTAGTACTTTCCAGGACATTTCCAACATGCATTTTAAAACTGAGGTACTCGCATTACATTTAAAATAATTATCTATATTTCAAACAACAATATTGTAATTTTTTATACTAAATGTTTCTCTGATTCTAGCTTTGAGAATTTTAAAATGCTTTAAAAATTTCAATATTAATATTGAAATAACATAGTTATATTATGGTTTTCATTTGTAAATTTCTGTTGTATCTAATTGAATTGCTTATTTTTCCTCAGTGCATTTTTACACTTACTTTGGTTCAGAATGGGATCCTTCGATATATCCAAGAGCTCGATTTGTCTCTGAATATGGTTTTCAGTCCTACCCATCTTTTGAAACATTAGCTAATGTTTCAAATTATAAAGACTGGGTGTATCCATTTGGTGACTGGATGACTCATAGGCAGCATCATATGTTTGGTAAGTATAAAAAAATTGTATGAGATAGAATGGCATCTATTGTTTATAACTTTCTTGTATTCTTATTCTTAAGTTGAAAAGCTTTATTTTTGAAAGTAAGATAGTATTTTTAAAGCTTAAGACCAAAAACTAAACAATAGCAGATATACTTTTTCTTAAGATATTTATTTTAATGAAAAAACTTTTGTGGGAAAAAAAACTGCTAGGTATTATCTAAACAAAATGGTATTTTACTAATTGTATTTTATATATGGATAGAAACTAAATATATTTATTGTATTAATTTTCAAGAACAAACTAAATTTTACATATATACAGAGTCTGCCAGAAAAATGTATACACTCTTTTTCATCCTGTATCAGAATACTGGCATTGACAATTGTTCTGAAATTTAAGTATGTTGTAGTATCGTTTTTCGCTTAACAGATGTCGGTACTGTCAGCATGGTTAGTGAGATAAGAAAATGGCAGAAGTATGCTTCACATTCGAGCAGTACATTTTGAAGTGTTTTATTAGGTTTGGAAATGCCATCGAAGTGCAGCATCTGTGGAGAGAGGAGTTAGGTATTGAACCTCCAACCTGCTTAACAATCAAATGCATTGTTGATAAGTTTGAGGTGCATGGAACAATTTGCGATATTCACAAAGGTTGGGAGGAATGCCTATAGCAGCAAATCCTGCTTCTTCAGCTCTCGTGTTGAAACTTTGCAAGAAAAAGTGGGGAACTTCACCACCAGAGTCTGCTACGCAGTGAGCATGAGTGATGGGGGTTATTACAAGTGTACAATGAATTTTGAAAAATATTAAGTGGAAATGTTATGTTCTGCAATTACTGCATGCCATTAATGATTATGATCCTCAAATGCAGTTTTGTGAATGATATCGGCAAATGGTAACTAACAATGAACAGTTTGTTACAAAAGTAGTATGGTCTGATGAGGCCAAGTATAAACTTAAATGGAGCAGTCAATTGACATAACTACGTCTACTGGGCACTGGAAAATCCTAACATCCATATTGATAATGTTGTCAATCTACCAAGGGTTACTGTCTTGTGTGGACTTACAGCTCAGAGTTTGATAGGACCCTTCTTCTTTTATGGTATTGTCCCTGCAAATGTTATGTACATTAATTCTACCAGGTGCTTTATGAAGACAATGAGATTTTCTACAACAGGATGGGGCCCCACTCCACTACCACCTAGAAGTATGAGGTTTCTTGGATGACAATCTGCAGGGACATTGGATTGGACAAAGAGGGCCCATTGAGTTCCCTCCCTGTTTGCCAGATCTTACTTCCATGGACTATTTATGGAGAACTGTGAAAGATGAAGTGTATCGAAGTAAGCTGTGCATGCTCGAGAACCTTCACCAAAAGATTACAGAGGCATGTGCATTGATATCCATTGATACATTTACGCTGTAGCTGCTTCGAACGCTCGTCGTTCTGTTAGGTAACATTTAGAACATCTAATGTAAACATATGCTTACCTGAAGGTTTGTCGCACATGTTTGAACAATAATTAAATATAAATTAAGAAATATGAAATATAGGTTTTTTTTTCTTACACAGTGTATAAATTTATCTGCTGGACTCTCTCTCTATATATATGTCATAATTTAATGCGTAGGAGAAAACACTGGAACTTTTAACAGCTTTTGATATTCGTCATTCGTTTGATATTCATAGCAGCTGAAGGTAAAAGCTATGATGACGCAGTTAACACAACTGAGCTTGAAAAATTACCAGTCTTTATTTTCACGCATGTAAAACCATCTTAGTAGACATTTATCCAATCATAATGAAATACCGTAAGTTCTATGTACATTGGTTTTAAAAGTATGACTTAAGCATTTTGGAGAGGACAACATAAATGGTGCAGAGTTCTGTCGGGTGGAAGCCAGGGAAGGGTCGGGTGGAAGCCAGTAGTTGTTGTGCCAAGAGTATTTATACTAAGTATGGTGTATAAGTACAGCTAATCTGTGATTGGTTAATTTTAGTTTGTTATGTAACATGGGAAGATCTCGAATTTGAGAGAACAGCTGAATTTAGAGGGAGAGCATGAAATCTAGAATCGTTAATTTTGAAGTCGTCAATTATTTTCTTAAAGAAGCTATCATATGCTGTTATATCTTATATATATGTGTGTGTGTATATATATAATAAAAAATCAAAGATTTAAGTAAACTAGTTAATCAATTGTAAAAGATGTAGTAATGTTGATGGCTTAGAATGTAGACCCATATTTGAGAGAAAACTTTAAATTTGAACTTTATTTCAGTTGACATTTACAGCTACAATTACTTGATACCCTAATCATGCCTAATCAAGAACATTTACATTTTTCATACTGTTGCAATAGTAAAAAAGCAGCATGACAGCATCTTAACAGCAAGAGAGCTAGAAACAAAAATGTGCACAATTATCCAGTATGGAAGCTTACAAGAAGAGGTTTTGGTTTAGGTTGCTTATTAAAAGAAAGGTTTCAATTCTCGAAATTTTGAGTTCAGGTTCCGAATTAGCTACATCATCAGTGTTATGCAAGCCATATAACATAGCTTTATACAGTACAAAGTCCGTAAGCCGGACTCGTCGGGACTTCGGCGATTCCGGATTAGGGGTTTTTCTGGATTATAGATCAATTTAAATCTGGTAAGATGGCATGCAGAAATTATACAATTAAAAATATGAAACTGTAATTTATGCAATAAAGAGCAATTATGATCTAAAGGGTATCAAAATTTACAAAAAAAAAAAAAACAAAAAAAAAAAAAAAAAAAAAAAAAGCTTATTATTTATTTGTTTACTTCATTAAACATTTCTTTCAATGTAAGTTGTTTAAGTTGCTTCGTTTTTATGCTAATACTTTCTCTTTAATTCTATAAACACGCATAACTTCTTGTTCAGTTACAAAGTTCCACTATTCAAGTCCTGTAATTGCTGTGTCAAGAATACCGACTAACTTATCAATCGAAATTTTTTCATTTTCAATAACCTCTCTGTCACTTCTTCACTATCAGAAGCAGTATTTTCTGGATCTAGAACCATACTACAGATTTTGCCATCAGTTGATTTATTGATGATTGGGGCATTGTCGTTTCAATGAAAAACTTCTGTTATATCATCTTCATTTATTACCGCTTCTCCACATTTCTTTACAAAATCCAATAACTGGAAAATTTTATCTTCAGTTTGCGATGTCCGAAAACCTTTGAATTCGTGGCTGTCATCTTCATCGTCCTCACCATGAAATATGGTAGCTGGCCATAAATTATGCCAAGCATTTTTTACATATCTGGAGGCACATCCCTCCCAATGCGCATGCGTAAAGCATACCAAAAAAAAAGTTTGTGGCTTTGAGGTCCGGATTATGGATCATTCCGGATATTGGACGTCTGGAGTACGGACTTTGTACCGCATAGATATGTGGCAATCCAGAAAAGTTATTACTATTATTAGAATAGGGAGGAGAATTAAGGGATATTGCTAGTTTAAATTATAATTTGAAATTTGTATATTTTTCTTACATAACCCCCCTTCAAAGAAAACAGGGCTTGACAACTAAAAAGCCTCTTTTTTTTTTTTTTTTTTTTTTTTTTGGAAGAAGCGCATTAAAGCATTAGTGACACGAGAAATACAATTTTGAAGGGAAAAATTCTTGTAGATATCATTTTTAATAATAAATGCAAATTGAAAAACTCTATTGAAATTTTGAAAGTCTGGAAGCTCATCTTTCAAGTTCCTTATCTTGAAAGTATTTTGTAAAAATTGTTGTCAATATATAACCAAAATTTTCTTTTACACATTCATGAAATTTGTATTAAAATTAATTGTTTAACACTTAAAATAATCCATATTGTAAAGGAATGTAAAATGTACTTTAGAAATTAATAACAGAATACTAACAACATATAATACAATAGCATAACAACTTTGATTAAAATGGGCAAGTCCTCACAGAGTGAATCAGGGTTTGATGGCTGTGTGAATGTTTAAATACAATAGAACCTAAAAACCTCCATTCCTTAAGAGAGGTAACTAGCTTTCAATATTGTATAATTATCAAAGTTTGCATTTATAACTTAAGGTATTCAAATTAATTGATTGAAATAAGGTTTTAAAAAACTTACAAAAATTAAAATTTACAATGAATAACTTGTGTACTATGCTCAAGTTAGGTCTTTCAAATTTTGTAAGTAAAATTCTACACTGCCTTACGATAATACAATGGACCATATCAATTTTATTTTACTTCCTTGTACGAAGTTAAAGGAAGTATTGTAATCGGGAAAAGTTTCAGGCAGAATTTCAACGAAAATATCCGTTTTGACCGCTATCGAATGCAATTTAGTGATGTTTTTGCATGATATCTGTACATAAGTACAGAATAAAAGACTAGTTTCCTCAAAAAAAATTGTAAAACTGCTTTAAAATTAATTCTGAAGAGAATTTGTCGTGGCGTCTGTACGAACGTATGTACATACGTGCGTACATACGTATCTCACATAACTCAAAAACAAGTAGCCTCAGAGCGTTGAAATTTTGTATATAGGACTGCTATAACATGTAGATGTGCACCTCATATTTTGATTGCGATCGGCCGCACCAAACGTATATAAATATATTTATATATATATCCGCTCTGTTACCCGGCTTAGTGATCTCAGTTTCTTTACTCTTATATGTTTGCAAATTGTACATTTTTTGCTTTAAAAATAATTGAATTATGATTTTTTATCTTCCGGTTAAGGTTTTTATGCCTTTCGTAAATCTGTATGCAATATTTTTTAGAATTGTCAACAATTTTAAAATAGTTTAAGTGCCGCTAAGCCTAATTTGGTGGGGGCCATTGCTCTTGTTTACATTTGAAACAGCTGAGTAGCGGATTTGTTGCCAATCTAGAGAAACTTAGCTTTGCAACAACAAAGATAACACCTTCATTTATTATTGCCAATTAAATCATGCTTAATCCTTTCTGGAATTTTTTCCAGGAAATAAGTG